CCACTCTTCCCCAAGCCTGTAGCGCTGCATGGGGTTGTTGTGGCCGAAGGGCAGGACCCGGCACTTGGCCTTGTTGAATCTCATACAGTTGGCCTCGGCCCATCGATCCAGCCTGTCCAGGTCCCTCTGCAGAGCCTTCCTACCCTCGAGCAGATCAACACTGCCGCCCAACTTGGTGTCGTCTGCAAACTTACTGAGGGAGCACTCGATCCCCTCATCCAGATCATTGATAAAGATATTGAACAAGACCAGCCCGAAAACTGAGCCCTGGGGAACACCACTCATGACCAGCCGCCAACTGGATTGAACTCCATTCACCACAACTCTCTGGCCCGGCCATCCAGTCAGTTTTTTACCCAGCGAAGAGTACACCTGTCTAAGGTGTATATACTGTATATTTTATTATATAAATTATATAGTATATATTATAAAGTATATACAGCTTAGTATATACAGTAATATATTTTATACTCATATAGAATATGAGTATAAAAAACATAGTAAGATCATATTAAGAAATAAAATTCAAATGGCCAATGTTGTTACTAAAGCAGTATTTAATAATCTCCCAGGGTATCATACCAATCTCTTAACTATCCAGAAATTTACCTCCCTCTTGTGCCTCAACTTAAAAATATAAAAAAGTCAAACTGTTCACAATAAGATATATAATCGTATAACACAATTTAAAAAGGCAACCACTTATCCTGACTGATACTATGAATATTTTGGCATATGTTTTCATACACCAATAATTCTGAAAGGCTTGTATTCCATCTGTGTCTACAACACAAAGGTAATTAATCAGTTAATCAACACACTGGGGTTCAAGATTTCTAACATTTTTAGTGACTAGCATTCATAAACTGCCTCTCCCAAATTTTTCAGATTTTATTTCAATGCTTTTTGTATTTATTCCCTTACTCCATTCCTAAAAAATATGTTTCTACTCAAAGAAAAACATCACTACAGGTTTCCTAATTTATAATCTTCTAAGTTAAGTTTATTCAAAGTGGTTGAAGGGCTTTTTTTTTTTTTAAGCTGTAGAAGAACCATTTGGCAATTGCTAAATCCTCTTGGCTGAGTAGGAACCTAAATAATTTGAGAAGGTAATTTTGTTATTTAATTTAATAAGATAATTCCAGAAGCTAACATATGCCTTCAAGAAAGAATACACACATTTAGCCAACTGTGATTATGCAGTGACTTCAGACAGTATTATTCTATCAATACAATTAGAAGACATTTTAGACACAGGCAGCAAGATTTCTTAAGACTTCTTTTTTTGAAATTATCTAATTAACTTTTTTCTTCCACTGAAAGATTCAGCGATATGCTTTTGAAAAGAACAAGCTACATTCTTTACAAGCAAAAAGAAAGAAAGAAAATAAAGGTTTTTTTTCTCCCGCTTAAGAAAAATCAAACCTTGTCTATTAAGCTCAAACATTTTATATTTGTTAGGTTACAAAGGGAAAGAACTGCGGCACGTATAGCTTAAGTACTATAGCAAGTGCACTTTTAACACCTGGATCATTCTGGGCTATTGAAGTTACAGACTTGTCAGACAGAAACAGCTGCATGCAGTTTTGCTGAAAACTTAATCTGATAATGGAATGGTGCCTGCAAATGAGAGCCCAATCACTGTGATGACTAAATTAATTTCTCCTGTTATTTTAATTGGGTGATACTACCAAGGGTTAGATACTGCAGACAATTAAAGGCACAGTTGACTTACTACATTCTGTCAACCGTAACAAAACAACATTGTAAGACACATGAGTAAGTTTAAATCTACCAATGTGTTGGGGTACTAAGCCATACCAACTGCATCACTAGACTGACCACTTAGGAAAGCAGTACAGAAAACTTCTAAAAGCAGTTAAGAAAAAGCATGAGTAACTAAATACCGTAAGTAGTTTTCCTGAAGCATGTGTTCAAGCAAAGCTGAATAAAATAGCAAATAAAGCAGTCCTCCTATATTACTACTCACTAATAAGTACAATACATAACTGAAAGCCATTTATTGTCATTACTAACCTAAGTATTCCATTAGCTGTTCAGCCGTTATGATTTCCATCATTGGTGGCAGCTTAATCTGTGAAAGTAAAAGTATATTCTCTTTAAAATGTCAAAACAATAAAATTTAGAAAGTATCAATAATGTATTTCTAGACAGAAGTCTTCTGATCACAACTGTCTCACCAATTTATAAGAGCATTAGCGTACTGGGACCAAGAACCTTCCCAGGACCACTACTAAATAACAAGGAGAGATTAAACAAAGGCACTCTGGTTTTTAAAGAAACCACATGCACGCAGTACTTTCTCTCACTTGCAGCTCTCTGCATAGTGCTCCCTACTCCCACGAAAACATTTCGGCAGCATCCCCCTTGACTTCACAGGAGTTCACATCACTCGCTGCACTAGCTCAGCTGCAGGCATCCAGGATGAACAACACACTGGGAACTGTAGCCACACTTAGTTAAGAAAACATCACCTTATTCAGAAAAGTCGACTCCTTGCCTTCATTATAACTCGTTAACTCAAGAAGTTCCTGCATACAGACAAGAGGCTGTAGAGAATTTGGTGGCAGCAGCTGCTGGGGCAGGGAAGCCCAGCCTCACGCAGGTACGAGGAAATGACCTCCCAGCCTCTCATCCTGTGCTCACATTTCAAGGGTTTGGTTTAACTCCATACAGAGGAGACCAGACACACAAAACTCGGCGGTGAAGCTTCCGTTCCCCTCTCCCCTGACCTATTCCTGTCATCGTCACCTGCTAAAATCAACCACCTTGGCAGCAGCCAGAGCCAAAAGCTTCTTAGATACTCATCTCCTCCATCCAACATCCTGGGTTAACGTTTTGGTTGCGCACTTTCATTTAGGTATCTCCCTGCAATAACAGCCAAAGCACAAACACATACAAAGGCATGCTTCTGGCAATCTGAAGGAATACCATAGGAGTATATTGTCTTTAATAATAGTACGCTCAATTTTTCTCTGCATAAATATGAATTTTATTTATCTAGGGTTTGGGTGGGGTTTTTTTTGTTGGTTGGTTTTTAAGCTTTCTCTTCAGTTTTAAATCTTCTCATCCTATCTCTCTTCAACATCTTACCACTGAAAGTCTAGAAAGTCTGGTATTTATTTTATTTGGAATTTTTAAATCAAGTTCCTCAACACTGACCACTGTTCTCCTTGACACAGATAGAAGGACACGATGTGAGACTGTTAACTCATGCTTAAGATTTTATAGACTCCAACTACTTTGCTGGTTGTGGAGAGGAAGGAGGAAGTAGAAAGCCATGAGATGGAAGAACAGTACATATAAAGCCTTTGATGCAGCATCCCAAACTCAAAAATACAGTATAGCAATACACTATACTGTTCACATTGTGATGGAGAGTGTTTCCTTCCCAATCTGAAAACTAAGCTATTTTAATAACTTTCCAGAGAAAGTGAGGTGTGATTGGACTAATTCTATCTCATGGCCAATTTTAATCATATTTGACAAAAGGCAAATGTGTTAAATATATGGAATTACAAGAATTTTCATTAAATTTGGAAGAAGAAAGACCCAAGTTAATACGGCCTTGTTATTCATGCACTGGCTAAGAAATGTACCCATACTTAGGTCAGAATTGGCCACACAGCATATGCCACACATTGATCAACCATCGATGGTGGACACAGAAAGAAGCTGACAGTACTGGGATCTGGGGAAGGAAGGGAATGGAAGTATAAGTTGTTAGTAAAGCAGGAAATTAGTGAAGCATAAATTCGTAAGAAAGAAGGCTTAATTAGTTCTGCTTATAAAAAAACCCTTAAAATTATATGAATTAAACAAGAAGAAAAATCAGTCATGCATGCATAGGCACATGAATTTTTTAAAACATCTAAATGAGTGACAACTGATTGTAACTTAGAAAATTTCTTAACCTCTTCTCAAAACTTCTCTAAGTTTCACTAATACTCGATAGGCTAAAGGTTTTCATAATCTTTGATCCTGTTCATAATATTCATACTGAGTATTCACATAAATATATTATTGTGTCATGTAAATAACAGGACTACAGGTTCAAAAAGCCGATTTTTAAACTTCCAGTTCTGAATTGGCAGCATTCCAGCCTTAGCAAACATTAGCTGTGCACACCCCTGAGTTGGGTCTGGTTCATTATGGCTCCTAAGGCACATCGATGTAACGGCACAGAACAGAATTACCCACACTAGCTATGCCTGAAGTGGTTCTGGGACTACAAACAGTACAGATGTGCCAGTATAATATGAAGGAGCTCAGCCAGCATTGCTTGGGCATTTCTGCTCTGCACCACATTTGGGAATCTAGAAGTATGCCTGCACTACAAACGGCAGCTGTAAAGCATAATCTACGTACTCATGGCATAAACGTATTAATGTTTCAGACTTTATGGATTGAAGGAGGTGTTATTTGTATCATTGGTTAATAATCTGAATTCTCCCTCACAACTGTAATGCTAAGCAATTTTTTTTTTTACTGCAGAACCAAAGCAAAGTAGTTTTACTCATGTCTGCAGAATCTCTCAGTTGGATCTTTTAACAAGCTAAATCTCAAAATTAACTACTTAATTAAATGCTAAACAAAGTTAATGGATTACTTCATGGCATAATTTTAGGGCTGGCATGTTTTGTGGGACCTTGAACACGTCTTTGAAGTGTGCTAATGGGGTTCCAACACAGACATAAGTACTTATGAACAGAGCTGACTTAAGGATATAGAGAACATGACATTTCCTAACTGTTCAGAGCTTCATTGCGAGCGCTTAAACTACAGGAAACGTACAACAAAGAGGAAACGGGAAAGAAAAACACCTTAACACTTTAGGGAGAGAGAAAAATCATACAGAACCACAGTCATTCTCCACATAAATCAACAGAAGAAAACAGTGTAAGCAATAGTGGTGAAAGCTGTTGTTGTCCATAACACTCTATTCTTTTGAAAGACAATTTGAGGGACAAACTTTCTCAATAGGTTTCAATGCTTAGTTGCTAGATTTTACATTAATTTTACATTTTAGGAAAACCACACTTCCTCAACTCCCACCCATTTCCTGTACCCCTCTATTGCAGTGCCCTGGTCTTCCACCCTGATCTCTCTTCCTAACTCTAGCTACTTTTCATTCTGTTTTTCTTCCCGTTCTCAGGAGTGGGAAACTAAATCTTTCTCACCCAACTGCAATGTGTAGTAGTCTCACCCAACCTCAGTACAGTTGAGCCACCTTTGTAATTAAAAGACAAGATTGGTAAACAAATTTTCATATTGAACAGTTTGTCTAGCACAACTTAAACAGTTTCTATGCATTAGACTACATAACGGAAAACTACATAATACCAATTTTAAATATTTTCTACTGTATTCTCCCACTCTTCAGAAGGACTTAAAAAAAAATAGTTAAGTGATACAGTCCTGCACAGAAGCTAACACTTCCGAAAATACTACGCATATAGAAAGGGACCATGCAAATTTCTAATGGCTTATTATTTATAGTCTCAGAACATGTTTATCTAAAATATGCAAATCACCTGAATTCAGTGTTCCGGAAGAGGTAAGGGTAGCTTCAACCTGCCTTGACAAAAAACAATTAATACTCCTTGCAAATATGTACCTCTTGCCTTGGGGGAACAGCTTCATAAGCTTATCACACCATAGCCTGATAGTACATTCTGTCACCTGATACCCTTAACATCTCCCCCCTCAACCAGGTTTCCTTTAGTCCCTCAGAGCCAGCTTCCTGTTCTGGAAAATGCACAGCTACAGGCCTACTGATTTGTAAGCTCAACTCATCCCACAGATGCAGGGAGGAAGGCTGCCAAGGCCTCTGCTGAGCATTCATCAGAAGCTCACCGGCAACTCACCTTCGGAGGCTGAGCAAGTTCATCTGAGCAATCTGTGCAAACTCTGGCCATAAGGAGGCTTAGCTCAGTAACAAGAAAAAGCAGATCACGTGTAAAGGGCCAATGCCAGACCTCAGACCAGGCACTACTGCTGCAGACTCTGACAAATCAAATGGGTATCAGCAGGAGCATACTGTACTCAGCTCCTCTGAAAAACAGGCCATTTTTATGAGAACCTAAAACTAAAAATTTCTAACTAGAAATTTTTTATTCTACTACTTCTCTGCACCTCAGTTTGATACATCTAAGCATAAACGGTTATATAACATTTACTTACATAATGGTTACAATCACCTAAATAGATAATTCATACCGTTCTTAAAGTTACTGAAATTTTAGTAGAGCTAGGCATGTAGGGAACACAGCTCCCAAAACCTTCCTTTCATTCAGAGGACTGTGATAGAAAAAACTTTTAAAGATACTGTTAAATATGCTACTGGAATTATTCTCCTGCATGAAAAGCTGTAAGGTCAAGATACTCCATATGCACTCACTTTTCAAGACAATATCAGTATTATTTACATTTGTATTACATTACGTTTCCCTTAGGTTTATTTTATGTTCGAAAACAATTTGTTTCTCTGTTCCCTGGACATTTCACGTATATAACTTCTGTGCAATGTGTTAAGGTTCACAGAGTTCTTCGGCTACATGACATCACATCTTACGCAAGAAACAGAGCAGAATTACATGGCACCCTCATTAAGCTTTTAGCATCTGATGATTGCTATGGAGTATGTCCTGAGAAGGGCTACCACCACACAAAATTACTATTTAATGCAATGCCAGAAGTTAGCAGAAAGTGGTGCATGGATTACACCTAACAAAGATCACAAAAAGTACTTAGAAAAGCAAGCTTTGCATTGTTAAGCTTAACTACATAGTGAGCCACAGGTCTGAGGAAAAACTGAGCGGTCTTCAGATTTAAACAAGTGGAAAGACAGCATCCTATGCTACTCTACATCAGAAGAGACAACCCATGCTTGTACACACTTTTTAAAATGTTTAAATACTCTGCTTCTGCTTTAATTTTCATCACAGAAGCCTAAAGAGTTACCACACTGTTTTACACAACAGTTACTTTTTCAAGTCCGTATCATACTGCTTTTGTTTTCTTTTTACTTAGAACATTGCTGTACCACTTCTGTAAGCAGAACTCCTTGGCTCAACCTCCTAAAGGCTAAACCGCAAGTTAAGCTTATACAGGCAGTCTGCAAAAACGCTTCAAAAGAAAAGTGATGATTTCATAATTGTAACATTTAAAAGTACAGCTTCTACAATCTGCCACCTCAAAGTTGTATGTCCAGACTCCTTTGAAAGCAGTAGATAAAAGAGAGGTATCAGTTTTATTGCAAGTTTAGTTCCAAAACCTGGTACTATCAAAAAGGAATTTGAGCAGTCCCAATGGGTGCTACTATTTCAGAATTTCAAAAACTTCAAGTGTTGCCAAACCAGTATCTCACAGATAAAAACATACAGATGCAGTACTCTCAAAGAATCAATTACTTTTAAGTAGTCTTTATACCTAAATAAAGATCTTAACTCTACTGAAAATACCTCCAAAAGGCATAATAAAAACTGAATAATGACTAGGAACAGAGGAGAATTTTGCTCCATTAATGAACAAGATCTTCATAACCACTAGGAAGAAATTTTTTGAGTATATGGCACACTTACTTAAGGTACTTTTACATTTTAAGTCTTCCTGTTATTGCAATCCTTTAAGCAAATTAACAGAGTACCTATAGTCTCTCTTTACTCAGTGAGGGCTGTCTCAGAAAAACTGTTTTGAATGAGGGCAACTGGGACACACAAACAGAAGGTCACAAAACTGTTAGTATATTTAAAACAATACTCTAATGTGGGGGTAAGAAGCTTGCATTTGAGGAGCTGAAATACCCGAAAACCTTGAGTTCTCCTTAATACATTCAAATGTTAATCTGAGTTTTTAGGCATAAATGTTTCCGTGATTGTGGCCTACATACCCTCAGAAGGCTTCCCATTTATTACTAAGTAGTAAGCAAAGATTTTAGTTCTAAGCAAATTGATTATGTGCCACTTGTCACAAACAATTATGTGAATTCAACTTTCACTGCTGCACAAGCACAGCTGATACATTGTATTGGATCTCAAGGTTGTCACTCCCATTCTGGAATAATGGAAGCATGTAACTGGCCATGCAAAGGGAAGTGTCCGTGAAAATTTGAAAACTAGTATTGTAACTATTGTTTCTCAACTTTGAGCACTTGCATGTATTATCTGAAGTTATCTGAGACCATATGTACCTACAGGATGACCAAAACTCTCAACCTTGTCAGGATAGAGTTCGTGGAAGGAAAGTTGGTGGCTGATACAGGGAAGAGAGCCCAAAGCTTAACTGTTTACCTTCTTATTCTCTGTTGTAATTTTATTTCCCCTCCTCATCTCCTTCTTACTCAGTTTTTTCTCCCCGCCACATAGCTTCTTTTCAACTAACTCATACTATGGTATTCTCGCTCTGCTTTCGCCTGTTTTCATCTCTTGGTCTGCTTCCTTGTTCCCAAATTATAATTACCTGACCCAATCTAGTGTTCATCTTTGTTCAGGAGAAGTGAGAAGAATATGAATGTCCATCCTCAGCCTTGGTATGTAGCTAGCTACTGTCAGTGACGTACAGACAGGCTGCCAATAAGCTTGCCACTCCAAACAATGCCAACATAGTTCTTGACTATAAAATGGGGAACAGAAAGGCTAATTTGCAGAGGCACTAATTAGAAAAATCTATTATAAGCAGGGGCAATATACAACCAACTAACAGGAAAACCCTCAAGCATATAAATAATAAGTCATGTGATGGCAGTTTCACCAATTTAGTTGCCTGTCTACAACTCATGTAAATTCTGCTGAGGTTTTATATAAACAGAGTTATAGAAAACCCTTCCTGTAATCCTAGCCATAAGAAATGATAGGTTACTCCCAAGAGGCATTTTCATTTTCACCTATTTATAAGACTGGCTATCACCTTAATTCTCACTGCGTAATATTTGATCAAAGCAGAATGTCAGTTAAAATTCTGGATGGAGGACAGCAGGAGAAAGCAATCATATATTTAAGGAGGCAAAGGAAGAATGCTAAGGAAAAAACCTCCAAAAACTTAAATGCAGACAAGAACAGTGCTGTCCCATTTATAAGCTTTCACTAAATGAAAGGTTAAAAAGGAAAATCCTGTAACTTGCCATTTCTTTTAAAACACCACCATACAGAATGATAATGAATGATAAGATCTCCAAGGCCTTCCACTCACCCCTAGATACTAAAGAGGGAGCATAGAAAGCAGTTTTAAATACTGAAGTCTCAGACAACCTTCACACCCTCTTGAGAATGGTAGAACCTACATAAGGCAATACCTTAAAGTCACACACAACTTACCTGTACCGCTTCCACTGATGGCTAAATATCTACACTGCTGTACCCACAGCTTTCCTGACGTATGAGCTATTCTGCTCAGAAAAATGTACGAAAATATAACTAAAAAAAAAAAATTAATCTTCTGGAAAGTTACCTTACTCTAAACAAATTTCTTCTTATAATATTACTTCCATTTTGACCTTTCCCTATGTCACCTGTTACACCTGTGAACAACATTCTACTCCTCCAATACCAAATTTCTTTCCCTTGATACTACAACATAAAAACTATTCCCATAAAGCTTTCCTATTCTATGACTCCATTGTATCAGCTCACCAATCTTTTGGGGTTGAATTGCCAGCATTTCTTGAGAAGTACCCCCTCCTCCTTGTTTTGCAACGCACACAACCTCATAGCTCTTCTCCAACAGATACTCCTTCCACATATAAATGTTAATAATTACATTATGCCTTACATTTTAATTGCTTAAAAGTTAAAAAGAATTATTTTAGGACTACAGGAAGTCTGTATCCACGATGACTATTGGAACATGAGAACTTCCAGGTCTCGAAGCTGTACTTGATCACGACCTGATTTACTCGTTAATTTAAATACAATCTATGCTGCATAACTGTACGAATGTATCGCTATTATTCAGGCAGTTACTTGTACAAATCTGTGTTTTGTACAATTCTGCATACACTTCATTATACAAAACTAACCTGTTTTCCCAAAATACCACCTATGTTTTCAGTGCTATAAATAGTAATGTTTACTTACTAGAAACCTGCACACATCTGCAAACATTATAGTGCTCAGTTTAGTAAAGCATCATCTAGATTTTGATTTCTATTTTAAGAAAACAAAGTAAGTCTATATATGACAGCAGTATCTAAGTAGCGTATTAGCAATAGACTGCAAGCCATTATTTATTTTCCAAGTTCTCTATGCGAGATGGGCGCTTAACAGCAGAAGTAAGTCCGCGTCCTAATCAGCACAGACTTCCAGCGGTGCGTTAACGTGATTTTAGCACAGGTGCCCCCTGAACGCTTTCAGCACTACACGAAATGCCTCGTTAGCCCCGA